GTCTTCCTCTTGTCTCTGCTGGAACTTGCACTCAAGTATACATACCCACAAACATACATTACAGGATATATATATATATATATATATATATATATATATATATATACATACATACATACATACACACACACACATACACACACACACACACACACATATATATATGTGTGTGTGTGTGTGTGTGTGTTTGTAGTTGTAGGCTGGCCTTAAACTCACAGAGATCCACCTGCCTCTGCCTCTACCTCTAGAGTGCTGGGACTAAAGGTGTGCACCACCATGCCCAGCTAAAAAATAATTAAAAAAAAAAAAAGTTTAAAGAAAGGAAGGAAAGAAGCAAAAATAGAGATAGGTTTCCCACTGCTGCAGGGTAACTGACCAACTCATTGCCACTTGTCAGACCTCAGTTTCCTCTTCTGCAGAATGGGGACCAACTTATTCAAGTTCCTTGCTCCTTACTAAAGCCCGGTCTTGGGCTCTTCAGGGCAAAAGAGGCAACAAATAGCTCCTAAGCAATGAAGTCAGCTGGTAAGAAATGCTGTACTACAGTTGGCAGGAAGGGGGTGCTGTTCACTAGTACAGCAGGACGTCTCCCAAAGTAGGCCCAGAGGCAAATATATGAGGTTTAGGAAAAGAGGTGTCATGGCCAGTTGATTGTGATGCTTGCAAATTATTTGCCTCTTTGTGTCTTAGTTAAGAAATAGATCCTATTCTGGTGAGGAAACAAAAATTACTGGATATAAAGCATTGAACATAGGGGCCTGCACCATGGCAAAACCGAGAGGCAGAGACTCAGCCACACAGTGCTGAGTGGAAGTCACTTAGCAGAGAATAAAGGTCTGAAGCTGAAGCTTGTTCCCTCACCCGGTTTCCCAGGGCCAGTGTCAGTGGCGGCAACCCCCTGGGAAGGAGATCTATCGCAAGAGCAACATCTCTGTGTATGAAGTGGATGGCAAAGACCATAAGGTGAGCTGGTAGCCCAGGACTTGTGGGAAACTGGCTTTCTCCTGGGCAGTCGTTATCACCTCCACCAGGCAGAGCCTTCAGTGCGTATCTGTATCTACTCTTGGTGTTGCTTGGTGCTTGTCTGTGTTGGTGCATAGTTAACATGGCCATGTGGTATACCACCTCAGGCCAGGTCTCCCCTCTGTTTCTGGGAACTCCTCTTCTGACAGGGTAGTTCTGGTTTGGATCATTCTGGAGCCTCAAGTGAAGACTGTCTGGCCTGAGGCTGCTCTCCGTTTCCTCCTTCTGTGTGATCCAAAGATGTTTGCCTGGAAGGGGAAGCCCTTTTGTAATAGATTTCCTACTCAGCTCTGGACAGCCTGAGTCCCTGCTTCTCAGAGGAAAGGCTCCACTGGGAGCAGGGATCACTTTGCCTCCTTTGCTTCTGCCTGCTGGGTCTGGGAGAGCTTTAGCAAGTGCTCAAGTCTCCCCTGAAGGGCCATGCGGTACAAGATGAAGAGGGTAGGCTTCTTAGATCACCATGTCACTTCCTGGCTGGCATCAGACAAGTTACTTAACTTTGTTTGTTCCTGTTTCCGCATCCATAAGATAAGAGTCATAATTATTTACCTCATCTGTTTGGAGAACAAATGAGACCACAGATGTCAGGTATGTAGCACATGATTGGCATCTAGTAGGCTGTTGGTAAACATGGCCTTTGTTGTTATTAGAGACTTGTTGGGGCTCAGGTGGCCTTGATCTAGGGGAATACTGAGCCTGGCCCCTGCTGGCTACTCTGATTTCCTTCAGCTTGAACTGGTAGAATGACAGAAGGAGCCTCCACTGGAAACAGGGTAGGTAGGGGTGGGGATGGCGTTTGCCAGCTCCACCTTCTGCCAGCTTTGAGGCCTTAAATCAACACCACACTTCTCCACTCAGGCTCCTGAGTCCTGTCAGACTAGCAGTGCTGGGCTCACACAGTATTAGATTGGGTAAGAGAGCAGAAGAGGTTAAAAAAAAAAAAAAAACCCAGACATCCAGTGTGTGGTGACTCACACTACAATCTTAGCACCAGGAGACCGAGGAAGGAGGATTGCCACACATTTGAGACCAACCTGGGCAGTAGGCTGTCTAAACCATGACTCAGAAATAAAAAGGGCCAGGTGGTGGTGGTGGTGCACATCTTTAATGCCAGCACTCAGGAGGCAGAGGCAGGTGGATCTCTGAGTTTGAGACCAGCCTGGTCTACAGAGTGAGTGCCAGGAGAAGCTCCAAAGCTACACAGAGAAACCCTGTCTCAAAAAAACAAAAACAACAAAAGGACTGGATGTGATAGCACACATCTTTAAATCCCAGCACTTGGGAAGGAAAGGTAGGCAGATTCTGAGAGTTCAAGGCCAGTTTGCTCTGAGTAAGTTCTAGGTTATAGTAAGACCCTTTCTCAAAAACAAAAATGAAGTGAAAAAAAGAAAACAAAAATTGGAAACCTTTAAATCTGCATTAAGAAGCCAGCTGTAAGGTGCTGTTGTCTCTCTGTATCCTCATCGGAGGCCTAGGAGCTGCCCCATTGGGCAGACAGCTCAGGTGTCTGGCTACAGACCTCTCAAGTTAGCAGTTACCAACTTCTGCTTAGCAGCTTCGAATTGACTGGTGCGGGCTCACCTGTGAGTGGGACTGAGGCTGGACCCAGCTGAGTTTCTACCCTGGAATTCACCAGCTGTGGAACCTAAGGCCTCAGTTTCCTGTTCTGAAGCACAAGTTAATGTCTGTAAAGATTGAAGCCAATTGTTTGTTTTGTTTTGTTTGAGACAGGGTTTCTCTGTGTCGCTTTGGAGCCTGTCCTGGAACTCAATCTGTAGAACAGGCTGGTCTCGAACTCAGAGATCCACCTGCCTCTGCTTCCCGGGTGCTGAGATAAAAGGTGTGTGCCACCGAAGCCTGGCTTTGAAGCCAATATGTGTGTAAAATCCTACCCTTTATTTAGCCCTCAAAAATGGTCAGATGGCTCAGCAGGTTAAAGTCCTGGCTATGCAAGCCCAACAACCAGACTTTATCCTGGAACCCATAATGGAAAGCAAGAACACAGCTGCAAGTTGCTCTCTGACCTTCATATGTGTGCGATGACGTGTGTACCTCCTCCCCACCAATAAATTTAATATTTTAAAGTGTCAGATAGTTAGGCATGCTGGCATACACCAGTAGTCCCAGAACTCAGGAGGTGAGGCAGAAACAGGCAGATCTCTTTGTGTTTGAGGCCAAGCCAGCCAGGACTACATAATGAGACCCTGTCTCAAAAAAAGAAAAACAAAACAAAACAAATAAAAAAATAAATAATAAAGAAAGCTATCTATGATCAGTCTAGCTCTGCTGTTACTGTTGGTGCAAATAGACTTCACTTTGGGCCTCCTTCCTGTCCACCTCACTGACTGGAAGACTCTTTCTGCTTTGGATTTATTCTGTTCTGGGGAAGCGCTTACTCCTTCTCCTTGACTGCACTTAGAGAGCTTCAGAGTGGCTCCTGGACCCCAGACAGCAGAGGCATTGTATTATTTGCGTAGCATGTTTCTATCTTTTATCCCTAGATATATTGTCAGAACCTGTGCCTGCTGGCTAAGCTTTTCCTGGACCACAAGACCTTGTATTTTGACGTGGAGCCCTTTGTCTTTTACATTTTGACGGAAGTAGACAGGCAAGGGGCCCACATTGTCGGCTACTTTTCTAAGGTACTAGACCGGGGGGGGAGCCTGGGAAGAGGGTGTTATAAACCAGAATGGAGGCTAGGACCCCAAAGGACCTGAATACCCTATACTCCACAGGAGAAGGAATCACCCGATGGAAACAATGTGGCCTGCATCCTGACACTGCCCCCCTACCAGCGGCGTGGCTATGGGAAGTTTCTCATTGCTTTTAGTGAGTAGCTGCTGCCATCTAGGAAGTGGGTGCTGTAGTTGGGGATGGGAGAAGCTGGGTCTTTAAGGTTCTTTCTGTCACTGCCAGGTTATGAGCTCTCCAAGCTGGAGAGTACTGTAGGCTCTCCAGAGAAGCCACTGAGTGACCTGGGCAAACTCAGCTACCGAAGCTACTGGTCATGGGTCTTGCTAGAGATCCTGCGAGACTTCCGGGGCACATTGTCTATCAAAGATCTTAGGTAAGAGCCTTGGTTTCCAGCCAGATCCAGGATATACTGTCCATCAGGACCCTTGTGAGAGATCATCTTAGAATCCTCTAGGAACAGGCTCTCCTAAGGTTTGTCATGGGTCTTGTGTCTTATCCCTTTTGCTGTCTCCATGAACTCTTATGCCTTCTCTACAGCCAAATGACCAGCATCACCCAGAATGACATCATCAGCACCCTGCAGTCCCTCAACATGGTCAAGTACTGGAAAGGCCAGCATGTGATCTGTGTCACACCTAAGCTGGTAGAGGAACACCTCAAAAGTGCCCAGTATAAGAAACCACCTATCACAGGTGTGTTGGGTGCTGCTGTGTGCATGCATGTGCGCAAGTATATTCTGTGTGTGTGTGTGTGTGTGTGTGTGTGTGTGTGTATGTGTGTATGTGTGTGTACATGCGCCCTCTGCGATTACATGTGTTTGGCAAGGTGGGATAAAGAGCCAAGCTCTTCTCCCCCCACCCCCCTTTTTTTTTCCCTGTTACAAGATCCGAAATCAGTTGGACCAGCTTTTAGGACTGCAACCTAGAGCAGGTTACTCATTCCTGGGATTCCCTCCCCCTCTTCAGGACTGAGGTTGCCCTTTTGTTCTCACCCTGAGAAGGTGAAACCTGACCTGGGCGCAGAAAGAGCAGCCAGGTATAAGCAGACTCGACTCACGGGCCTCTCACGCCTCTTTTCTCCCACAGTGGACTCTGTCTGCCTCAAGTGGGCACCCCCCAAGCACAAACAAGTCAAGCTTTCCAAGAAGTGAGTGGCCTCTGCCCTACTTCAGACCAGCGTTTCCCGGCCTCTAACCTGTAAATATGTGTACAGATCTATTTTGTGTCATTTTTTTAATAAAGTAAATTCTGCTGGTGTGCTGGACTTTGGAGGTACAAAGGAGATGCCAAAGGGTGATATTCTTCATTTCATCTCACATACAGCCAGTTGTGTTTAAAACATTTGCTCCTTGCTCCTTTTATCCCTCACCCTGATCCAAGCCCCAGCCAGCTCCGGTGGGGGCTCAGTCCTCCGGAGTCCAGGAGTTGGGCTCAAAGCAGGCTTGGCAGCCAGTGGAGTAAAGCTGAGGTCTTCCCTGTCTGAAAGGGAGACAGGAGGAGGACAAAGTAATGGGCTCATCAGGCGGGGTGGGTGGGGCCTGAAGCCAGCCTCCTGCAGCAGCCAGCTAAGCAGCTGCCCTGTGCACTAGACACAGGTCAAAGTCAGGACTCATTTTCCTAGTTGAGGCTTCTGGGAGCTCCATAGGAGCCTAACAAATAAGCTGCAGATAATAGAGAAAGGTGGCTAAAATTTCTGGCCCATTCCACAGGCTGTATGTAACTTCTTGGCCCTAGATTCTAATCCCAAAGAGCACATGCAGAAGAATGGGCTCAAAGATCAGGTTGGTGCACTGCCCTCCAGAGCAGGCACATGTCCTTGGGTGTGTTCTCGGTCTTGGAAGCAAGGTCAACTTTGAGGGTTAAGTAGCTTAATGTTCAAACCAAAGGCAGAAGAGGCCAAGGGTCAGGCCCAGTGGCAGGAAAGGAATGGGCCTTAACAGTCCCTGGGCTGGAGCTGAGTTGAGGACAGGATGGTGGTTGCAGAGGTGGCCATCTGGCTGGGACTCCTGAGTTTGGGGAACCACACGAGGCTGGAGTTCTGCCACATTGTAGTGGATCCAGGAGGCATAGGCAGAAGTCAGAGTATACACTCCAGGCCTGTTAGGGGCTCCACAGGCATCGCCCCAGCTCACAATGCCTGCCAAATACCAGAGGCCTTCTATGGGACAAGAGAGTGGGCCCCCAGAGTCACCCTAAGGAAAAAAAGAGCTCTGTCAGAAAGACCTCTGGCAAACAGTCATCCATGCAAACTCCACTGAGCCCTCCCAAAGCCTCTCAGGGTATACTTGTTCCTGTTTCCTGGGCCCTTGTGCTTACCTGGCAAGCATCCTTGCCTCCCTTCACATAGCCAGCACACAGCATGTCCTGCTGGATAGTATGGGGTTCCTCAGGCACAGCATTGATGTTGTATAGGCAGCTACAGGTTTCACGGCTGATCAGTGGTACCTCAAGCTGCTGCAGCGGTTTGGGGGTCTGGAGGTTCACTGTGGAAATAAAATGTACTTACTCAGGGTCCCCAACCTCAATCAGCTTCCCTTCCCTGTCTCTTGGCACCCAGTGCTCCACCTCACCTGAGGGGGCCACATGACCCCATCCTGTGACAGTACATTGGAGACCATTGGGAAAGGAGGCATTGGCTGCAGGGAGGCAGATGGGTCTGATGTAGCGGGAGAAGCTGACAGGGCTGCTGAGGCGGACCAGTGCAATGTCACCCTGAGAGCCCTCTTCACGGTAGCTTGAGTGGGAGATGATCTGAGCCACTGCGAGGACCACCGTGTCACTGTTGTAGGAGTCTAGCTGGTGGGCTCCCAGCTTTACCTCATACTGTTCCTTATAGTGTTCTCTGCAGGCAGGGAAGCAAAGGGTAGGACCTGAGAGACCTCTTCTGAACACTGACTTCTGCTGCCTTACGCCGTCCCATGCTATCCTGACTCAGACCCCGTATGACCTAGTTTTACCCACGACCTAACCCCTCACTTTTACCTCTGACTGGTCCCTTTTATTTATATTTATTTATTTGTGAGCTAGGATCTCATTTCTCCCTGGCTGGCCTGTATACTAAGTGGACCTTGAACAGAGATCCACCTGCCTTTGCCTCTTGAGTGCTGGCATTAAAAACATGACCATTATATGTGACCCAAGACTACAGATACTTTTTTTTCTTCAGAGACAGGGTTTCTCCGTAGCTTTGGAGCCTGTCCTGGAACTCTGGAGACCAGGCTGGCCTCTACCTCACAGAGATCTGCCTGTCTCTGCCTCCCGAGTGCTGGAATTAAAGGTGTGTGCCACCACCGCCCAGCTGACGACTGATACTCTTAAACGCATACCAGGAAATAGTCTGGCCTACAATGATCTGGCACGATTGTTTCTCTCCCTGTCTTTTTTCTTTTTTGAAGCAGGGTCTAATGTAAACAGGGTCAAGCTGGCCTTGAATTTACTAGGAAGTAGCTGTGGATGACCTTGAACTTCTGATCCTGCTTCCATCTCCCAAGTACTGGGATTTCAGGCCTGTCACCCAAACTCTGTTTCCAATACACTTTGACCCTCCCTCTGCCCCTCCACCAAGTTGGTACCTGGGGAAGCAGTGAGCAGCTGACACCACCCATTGATCCGACACGAGAGACCCGCCACACACATGGATGCCGTCGTAGGTGATACTGACCTGCCAAGGCCACTGGCCAGGCTTTGCACTGCTACCACCTGTGATGCGTGGCTGGATGACTGCACCACAGGAGGCTGTCCGTGGAAGAAGGGAAGGTGAGGCTGGCCCCCACAGCAGTCCTTAGCCCTGCCACCCTGGAGACTTGGTTCAGAGCCTGGGACGTGCATTCATATTGAGCATATCCCCACTCAGTCGCTATGGAAGTTCACTACCCCTGGTGCTGTCCCATTCCAGCTTCATGGCAACCCCTTCCTTTCAAGCCTTCTTGCTTTGTATCCAATCTACTTATCTGATGTCTTTATAAACCACAAATGTGGCCAAGTCACGGTCTTGCTGAATTCTTCCATGGCCCCAACTGACCTTCAGAAACATGGCAAGGGCTGGAGAGATAGATGGCTCAGCTGTTAAGAGCACTTGTGGCTCTTGCAGAGGCCTGGGTTTGGTTTCCAGCACCCATATGGCAGCTTACAACTCTCCTAAATTCTAGTTCCAGGGGATCTGATACCTTTTGATCTCCAAAGGTACCACTCACATGACACACATACTTTCATACAGGCAAAATACTACATTTTAAAGAATTTTTTAAATAGATGTGTTCCAGATGCACCTGGCACTGTCCTCTGACTATCCAGCCAGACACTTCCTGTCACATACGCTGGGCCACACACTGCTCACCTCTGGGCCTTTGTTAATCCCAGTCACTGTACTCTTATGCCTTTCCCACACTTTCTCTGCCGGGTTAGAGAGCCTTCCTAAGTGTGGCCCCTCCACAGTCTGTTCTGAGTGAGCTGGCAGAGTCACATGAAGCTCTCAGCTTCTAGGGCCCTCTCTTCCCACTGTCCAGGCTGACAATTATTCTCATGCCTATGACTGTCCCGACTGAAACAACCTGTGCATTACCAAGGACACCCTATACCCACACAGAGCACACAGGTACTGATGCATGCGGCTGAACACTGAAACAATTGGCTTCTCTGTGACATGGACCTGCCCCCACTGAGCTAGCAAGAGAGTGGCATTAAAACAGACTTTCACGTCTTCCTCAAGCAGAGAAAACAGCCACCTGAATCTTCCTCCATTCCCTCATAATCATGACAATGGCTACTACTTTGCTTGCTGTGGCAAGTCTAGGCCCAAAGGGGCTTTCACTTCCCAATCTCTGGGAATCCTCACTACAACCCTAGAAAAACAGCTGACAGCTTTTCAAGGCAAAAAAAAATCTGGAGCTTAGAAAGAGGAGACTAGGCCATTAAATAGTTAAGCTGGGACCGAAAACCAGTCTGCCTAGGAGCTGGTCTGTGTAGTTTCCCTCGGAACCACCTCAGGTACCCACACTGAGAGTCAGACTTCGATTTATGCCCTTGGACACCTCCCTGCTTCTCTTCACCTCAGTTTCCTCATAAAACAAGAGCCATGGTTCCATACTCACAGAGCTATTGGGGGCACTTAGTGTGGCTAGGTGAGCAAACTCCGCAGGGTGACAAGAGCTCCTAAAACCCATCAGGGGACTCCAAACTGGTGTGACCCCCCCCCCCCCGCTTGCTTCCCTTCCCCCCCAGTTTCCCAGAAAGTCTCACCTTCAGCCCCGTCAGCTCCTGGAGGGGAAGAAAGAGGGAGGAGTAAGCAGGGAGGCCTCAGTTCCTAGACCTTAATAATAACAAGTTTCCCAGAGAACAACGCCTTGCTTAAGGGGCTGATAAGGAGAAGATGGCTAAATGGTGGGAACGGGGAGATTCATGCTCTACACAGGGCTCGGCCTGCTCTCCGACAGTGCCCTCTCTCTAACCCTCCTTCCCCGCTGATCCACACTTACCCATTCTTGACTGGAGCAATCCCATAAGAAGCAGAATGGCCACAGCTTCTAGCTGCCCAGGTCCCAAGCCCACCCTTAGGGCCATGGCCCAGGACGAGGGCCCCCGGGCGGGCGACTCAAGGTAGGCAACGAAGGAATGGAAGGCCGGCTTTGAGATGTCTGCTTGCTCGGAAGTGAGGAATCCCAGGATCTAGAATGGAGAGGTGAGGCAAGTGTAAACGTGGGGCTTCTTGGCAGGAAATGGCCACAGGGAATGGAAGACACACCTTTAGTCTCTGCAGTGACCAGTGTGGATCAGTTCCGCCTTACAACCTGGCCACTACAGGCACCTGGGCAGAAAGCAGCTACCTGTGGGCTCCTCCCTCAGTCACGCCCTCCTGGCTGAAAGCAGCGGGCTTTTTTTTTTTTTTTTTTTTTTCCTGCTTCTGACCTCTGTAGTCCTTTTAGACTCCTTGGGGAGTGCGGTGGTTTTGGTAGGAGGAAAACAAATCCTGGCCAGTCAGAAAGAAGTCTAAGGCGGGGCTGGAAAGCCTGAGGGCCAGCCAATATCCCAGGTCTTCCTGGCTCTCTGTACTCCCACCCCGCCCCCTCACGCAGCAGCCAGGCCCAGACTATTATTGTGGGGCCACAGGCACTGCCCAATCCTTCCCACCTTCCTCGGGCCAGGTATCTGAGACTAGGACTTGGGGGATGCCCCAGGCCAGGGCCATTCCTGGCAGGCTCCCTCTGTGAAGCTTGCAGCCTTCTTGCAGGTGTTGAGCTGTCTGGCTGTTGACAATCATCCAACAAGTATTTGCTGAGCACCTACTATGGCCCCAGGCACAAGTGGCAAACTGTACCATCCATGACCTCCTTGAGATTATGATGAAGTAGGGATGTCAGACTCGAATCAAAAAAATAAAAAAATCAAATAAAAATAATCATAATAAAAATAAATTATTGAACCGGGAGCTGTGACAGACAAAACGAACAGGGACTCTTCGATTAGGATCTGGAGAGGTCTTGGAGAAGAGTGTTGAGAACCAAATCCTAAGAAGGTATGGAAAGATGCTAACAAAGCTGACAAAGCTGGGCCAGGAGTGATGGCCATGGCTTTAAATCCCAGTTATTTTCGTCCTGTCCCCCACCAAGGGCAGGTGGAGCTCTGTGATCTGTGGCCAACCTTCTACATAGCAAGTTCCAGGACAGTCAGGGCTACATAGAGACCTGCCCCCCCCAAAGAGACAAAACTGTGGTGTGGTAACGCAGGAGAACATCTGTAGTGTAGGGTGTCAGGGTAGACATTCAGGGAAACAGGCTGGGAAGAAGGCTCTGTGGGTAAAGCACTGGCTGTGCAAGCATGAGGACCTGAGTTCAGATCCCCAGCACCTAAGTAAAAGCTGGATAGGCTGTTCGTGTTTGTAAGCCTAGTACAGTACTGGGTGGGAGAGAGTAGAGACAGCAGATCCTGGGGCGTTGCTAACCGGCCAGTCTAGAATTAATAGCAAGCTCTAGGTCCAGTGAAACCCTGTCTCAAAAGCAAGGCGGAGAGCAGTAGGCTCAGAACTTACGTGTGTGTGTGTGTGTGTGTGTGTGTGTGTGTGTGTGTGTGTATACAGACAAGTACTGGCACACCGGAAGAGTTCAGGGAAAGGCAGCCCGTGGGGCTGCTCTCAGTGTGGTACCTGAAATGTGGTTTAGGCTTAAGCTTGGGGAAAAATAGACCCTTTCTTCCTGTACTCTTTTCCCAGAAGCCTGGACTCCAGCCTAGCCCCGTGGCAGAGAATTCCTGGAGGGTGTAAATTGGAGAGGTTGACTGGGGGGGGGGGGGAGGGGCAAGACTTTGGGAGTCAGGGTGTGTTTAGGGAAACAATGGGGCAGGGTCCTTGTGGGGGTAGCGGCTTGGTACTGAGAGCAGGTAGATAAATACACTTCCAGGGAGGGCCTGAAGAACAGTCACTGTGGTATGCAGGAATGAAGGGGAAACCTTTAACAGCCTCTACCCTGTGCCACCTTCAGCTCACTTCAGCCTCCCTTCCTTAGTCTCTGCCTGTGTGAGTGGCTGCGGCCCCACTTCAGGAGTGAGCCCTCTGCTTACCCGTGAGACTCCCTCCCTTTCCTCAGGCCCGCGTGTGCTCAAACCTCATTTCTTCTCTGACCATTTCTTGATCCCTAGTCAAGGAGTGGCCACACGTGTTTCCCACTTGACAGGGGACACCAGTCCAGCATGTGGTGGTGAACTTATTTTCCAGGCTTCAGTTGTCATGCCTTGCCAATGAGCAGGTGGTATGGATTGAATTGGATGCGGAGGTGGGATTTACATGGATGTGGCCCAAATCCTAGGGGCACTGGTTAGGATGGACAAGTGAGAGTTTCTTGAAGGGTGCTGAGGTTCACCTGTGTATGTGTGTGCACACATAGGCTAGAGACTCTAAAACTGTACATTATACACTAGGGTGTATATTTAGACCTCCTAGTCTAGTGGGTACCGAGCCAGGGCTGAGGTATGCTGCATGTGCTGGAGATACTAATTCCAATGGAGAGGTGACACACAACCAGCTGTCTACCTAACCTCCCCCGCCCAGAGGCAGGAATGAGGGAACAGCTGCCACGTTATAGGGGACACATTTCCTGGGATCCCAAGGCCTGACTCACTGAGAGAGAAGAGCCCTATCCTTGGGGCTTTCCCCTTAGCTCTGAGGTGTTTGGCCCCTCAGCAACTTAAGAGATGCCACAAGGCCACGTGTCTGTATTTACATTTTTATTGTCTCTTCCTCCCACACCCCCAAGGAGTCTTAGGTCCAAAGTAGCCAGCACTGTGGTCCAATTATCTGAAAGCTGGTGTAGTATGCGTGGTAGAGGCCCTCTCCAGGCCTGGGAGCTGGCTGGTTGGGCCACATTCCAACCCTGATGGGTGGTGTGAGGAGGAGCCAGACTCAGCCCTGGATCAGTAGAGCCAGTGGGAGCAGAAGCAGAGCAGCTACCTCAGGGGAGCTTGCAGCTCCTGCCAAGTCCTGGGGGCAGAGGTCACTGTCTTCAGGAGGCCAGTAGGGGAAGCCACTAGGAAGAAGGAAATGGGCTTCTCCTACTGTTTGCGATATCCAGGCAGCTTCAGGACCAATGGCTGCAAACAGCTCCTGGCTACCGCGAACAGCCAAGCCCATGAGAACCCAGGGGCCTCCCTCAGTCTGGCACAGGAGGGGAGGTGCTGAGGTCACCTGCAAAGTTGGAGCCAAATGGGTCTGTTGCCCTTCCTCCAGTCCTGACTTCCCTAGGGTGCAGTCACAAAGCACTGCTGGTCTCCACCCTTAGGACCCTGGTTCCTCTCTAAGGTGGAGGCCACAGATACCACTTGTTCCCAGAACCAAGAGATTCCATCTGAATAGGGTCTAGCTGCTCAGAACTACCTTTCCCCTCCCTGGTCCCAGATGCCTAGGCCTCTGTACCTCACATTTATCTTCCTGCCCCTCAGTATAGAGGACACAGAAGGTTCCAGGAGTCAGAATGCCCTGATAGAGGCAGTGGCAGAGTCGTGGTGTCAAGATGGAGACAGCAGTGGCAACAGGAACTAAAGAGGAGAGAGAATTGTACAGGGCTCTGGCTTGAGGTCATCCCGCATTCCCATGACCCAAGGGCTCTCACCTCTGTCCTGGGGGTCCTTCCAGCCCAGCACCCAGCAGCTGGCCCCTGGGGGAACTCCCCCTGGCTGGAGGCAGATGGGCAGAGCTGATGGGGAAGGCTCCACCCGAGAGTTCAGCTCCAGCAGGACCAGAGGGGGTCTAAGTCCTAAGTGCCTGGGCAGGCGGATGCTGATGACAGAGCGTGATACCTGGTGACCCTGTGGGAGGGAGCTGGCCCCTGCCCGGCCCAGATACACTTCAATGTAAGGCACTGTTGTAGAGCCCAGCCTGTGGGAACAGGAAACAGCATCGTCTCCTATGTCTCCCATAACTGGTGAAGTCCTTCCCAGCAGAAGAAAAGGGCAGAACAGATCTCTAGGTCCATCCACCAATTGCTTTGTGATTTCTCCACTGTCTCAAAAGATTTTACTCCCCCCCACCCCACCCCAAAGCCAACCAAACCAAACATCCAGGCAAAGACATCCATCCCACAGCACTTCCCCTATACATACAGACCCCAAAATGACAATGTCCTATTACTGAAAGAGTCCTTGTTTTATCACCCAATTTTTCTCATGCTGCCTGTGGCTAGGAGAGACCCACCTGAGAATACAATGAGTGGCTGCTAGGACCCAGCCTGGGGCAACCAGAATCCCTGTGCAGACTCGATTACCAGTCACATGCACCTCTGTCAGCCAGGGCCACAACACACCAGCTGGAGTGGCCTTTGGCCTTAGGCCACAGGCTAGAGAGAGGAGGTGGCTATCTCAGCGGGAGTCCCAAAGCTGCCCCCTGGAAGCCTTGCCATGATTTAAGTACTCCCAGGAACCCCTAAAGCCTCACAGACCACTGCTCACCACCGTGCTCAGTGTGTGGGGGACAAATCTGTTCCTCAGTCTCCTCCCCCTCAGGGCCCCAGTCCCAGGTTAGCTGATCTTCCAGGTAAGCTCCCTGAGTCACATGACTGATCCATGGACCGTGAGTCTGCAGTGGGGAGAAGGCTCGAGGGCGGAGACAACCATTTGAGAGGGTTCTGTATCCAGCCATGAACCATGTCCCTTCCTCACGACACAGAAGGCTCCAAACGGAATCTTTCTGTAGCAAAACAGTATTACTAGCGTGAGCACAGGCTGCAGGTGCAGAGATCCTCAGCTTTTTCTCGGCTTTCCTGGGATCCTGATTGTTACTGTGGAAGCTTCGCCCCAGTCCCTGGCATCCATATACCCAGAGTCTGGAAGGTTATGGTGGAGGTTCTGCCCAAGCCCCCTTCCCCACCTCCCTCCAAACCCTGCTGCATCCCTGAAAGCCCGCCAAATGATGACCCCTCCCCCAGAGATACTCAAGACCACTCCCACAGGGTGTATAAGCTGACCCTGAGAAAACAGACTCATGACCTCTATCTCCTGGAGTGAAGGGGGCTGGAAGGGCTGTAGCCATTAAACGTGGGTTTTTCTAATTCGGTTTGATTTGGTCTGATCTGGACTGCTGTGTCGGCGGAGAGGCTTATCAGGGTGCAAAAACTTTTCACTGATTCTTCTTTCGTGGACTAACCAAACATCTTTCCAGCCAGGTTCCAACACTTAATTTGCGTAAAAAATCTAGCCCTCACTTGACAAACTCCAATCTTCTCATCCTCCCTCTTTCTCGAGACAAGGGTTTCTTTGTGTAGCCCTGGCTGTCCTGGAACTCAAAGAAAGGCGTGAGCCACCACCGCCCAACTTCTGCCCTCTCTTAAAATTAAAATTGCCAAACGCGGGCTGAGGAGATGGCTCACTCGGGAAAGCACTTGCTTCACGAGGACCCAGGCTTGGATCTCCAACACTCACGCGTTTAAAAAAAGGAATAAGCCGTGCGTGGTGGCACGCCTAGGCAGGTCTCCGACTTCGAGGCCAGCATGATCTACAGATGAGTTACAAGACAGCCAGGGATACATTTAAACACCCTGACTCGAAAAAAAAGAGCAAGAACTAAACAAGTTTGGGCATCACAAACACGAGCCTCCCTAGCTCCTCCCGCCTCCAGCTGAGTCTCGGTCAGGACCGGATTTTTGCAGCAAGTTCCTGCCGCTCACCCAGCACCGGCCCGCCTCTTCCTCCTCCAGGTAAGCCGGGCAAAGCAAGTGCGGCGGTTCTCCTGGCGGCGGCACTGACGCCCCCTGGCGGCCGTACAGGCAGTGACACCACCAGCTGTTCATCAGCTGCGCCTCCAGCTGCGCGCTGGAGCCGGGTGCGGGTTCTGGGGGAGAGAGCGGCGAGCGGGTGCTTCGGCCGTGTGGTCCCCGCCCCGCCCACCCCACCCAGTCCGTGTCCCCGCGGGGCCCCGCGCACCCCCGCGGCCCCAGCGAGCCAGGCGGCAGCGGCTCCCGGGCAGGAAGAAGTGTTCGGGATGGGGCAGGCACACAGCACTCAGGGCGGCGGTCAGATTCACGCGCGTCCTCAGCTGCAGCAGCGCCAGGTCCGAGGCGGAGTCCTTGGAAGCGTTCTCGTGCGGCACGAAGCGTGCCACCCTGTCCTCCGGACGCGAGGGCAGCAGCACCCGCCAGGCCTCAAGGTCTCGGGGTGGGCTGTCAGAGGTGCGGGGCTGCTGGATGGGGTACCGTTCAGCACACGCGCTGCACATCTACCTTCCCAGGCTTAGATTGCTTCTCCGGGTTGGGATGTTTCGCCCAACGCTGGGCCCCCACCCCCTACTCTGTTATTCGGGCTCTCGCGGTTTTGGAAGGAGCCTCCTACCCACCCTCGACAGATTCCCCGGCTTTGTATGGGGTTCTATACTCTCCAGCAGGGGTCCCACTACAGACTGAGGTTACAACTCACAACTCCCACCCCAGGGGAAGGGCTGAGCCAGTCTCTCTGACTAATGTGGGAAAGGGCCAGAGTGCCTGATAAAGTAGATTCTCACTCACTCCACAAAGCAGCTGGCGGGTGCCAAGACCCAGCTGTCCGACACCAGAGCTCCATAGCAGGGTCTGAAGCCTGGTACCATCACCTGGACCTCCCAGGGCCAGAGCCCTGGCCGCGAAGCCTTCCCGCACTCTGAGAGATAAGAGGCCTGGGTCAGGGTGTCTGCAGAAATCCTTACCCTTGAAGCCTCCACCCCAGCTCAGGCATATTCAGTGCATCAGCCAGCCAGCCATTCACCTGGTTGGGCAAAGGTACAGTTCTCTTCTCTGGGCTCCCAGGGTCCTGATTGGGGCTTCTGAATCTGGCTGGGAAAGGCAGGCCCAGGCTCTGACTCCATCACATGTTCCCGTATCCAGGACTCATAGGGAGCCACTGCAGTGAAGACCCCAGGGCGGTTCCTTCGTCCACAGCCAAAGCCAAAACTGGTGATTCCTGCCTGGAACCAGCGGCCGCCATCCTCACAGACCAGCGGTCCACCAGAGTCACCCTAATGATAGATGACTCAAGTCAGACCAGTTCAATCTACACCCGGTTTTCGCCTAACTTATGGCCATCTTCTAGAAACCATCTTTAGCTACCTCACCTCTGTATTATGTACAGTCCTAATCAGAAGAAAGCTGGGCAAAGCAGAACCATTGATTAGCCAACGCCAAGAGCATCCAGACAATGTGTGAACGACTTTTCAAGAGAACCCTGTCGGTGGTCTCGTTCAGAGCTGAATGATTCTTGTAAATAGTTCACCCCAAAGCTGTCTCTGATTTCTAAGGTTTCTAAGCCATAGCCCCTAAAGTTTTCTTTTGTGCTGGCCTTGAACCCCGGGATCACACAAATGCTGAGCTCTACCCCTTAGCCACCTCTTTAAAAAGTAAATAAAGGACTGGGTGGGGGGTTTGCTCAGCTGGGAAAATACTTGCTTTGCAAACTGAATTCCATCTCGGTGTAAGAATGTGGTAACCTGAGCTACTAGGGAGGCAGAGACAGGAACATCCTCCACACTTGCTGGCCAGCCAGTCTAGCTTAATTGGTGAGCTAATGTCCAATAACAGACCCTGTCTTAAAGAAGGTGGACTGTTTTCCTGAAGATGGCGCTCAGGGTTATCCTCTGCCTGCACACCTGCACACATATGTACACCCCTGAACAGTGCTCACACTCTATCACAAAAAGAAAGAAAAATCAAAGCCAAGCTTGGTGGTATATACCTACAGTCCCAACACATGGGAGGTGGAAGGATCAAAATTCAGTCAGTGACATAGCTATTTTTAGGCTAGCCTGAGCTACATGAATGAGACTGTCTTCAAGCAAATAAACACTTGTTGCCAGACCTGATCACCTGAGTTCAATTTCCAGGACTCACATGGTGAAAAGTGAAAACTAATTCCCACAAGCTGTCATTTGATGTCCACACACATGCTTTGACAAATAGAGTGTAAATGTAAAAATAGATACTAGCCAAGGAAGATGCTGCTAGAACAAGGCGACATAAAAGCAACCAGAGCAGGTATGGTGGCGTGTCTGTGGCCCCTGCTATTCCAGAGGCTGCAGTCGGAGGAATTGAAGTCTACCCTGGGCAGCATAGTAAGAGCCTGTCTGTGAATGAGTGAATAAATGAACACATTAATAAATTCATTAAGGGAGGCAGGCGGTGGTGCACTCCTTTAATCCCAGCAGAGACAGGCATATCTCTGAGTCCGAGGCTAGCCTGGTCTACAGAGCAAGTTCCAGGATTCCAGGACAGGCTCCAAAGCTACAGAGCAAAACCCTGTTTCAAACAAACAAACACACACACAAACAAACAAGGCTCAACATTCTGTAGAGTTATGCTACTCAGAATAGTAGCTAACAGCCCAAAGCAACTATATTTCCTAAGATCGGCTTTAGTGTTTTATGTGTATGAGTGTTTTGCCTGAGGAGGTCAGAAGAGGATGTTCATCCCCTGGAACCAGAGTTACAGAGGTTGTAAAAGTACTGGGAATCGAACCCTGACCCTTTGCAAGAGCAACAAGTGCTCTTAACCACAGAGTCAACTTTCCAGCTCTGATTATTTAAATTTAAATTTAAATACAGTTTTGACTTCTCAGCGCTGCCCTCCTATCCCTGAATTTTGTTTTAGTTGAGATAAAGTCTCATGAAGCCCAGGCTGGCCTCAAATTCACTGGACAGTGAGAACACATACTTGCTGAGCCATGCTGCCAAGCTCAATATCCCCACTATAGTATGGGATATTCAAAGAAATTAAACTCAAGAAATTAAACACAAGGAAAGCAAAAATGGGCCATGGAACTGAACAGGGAGTTCTCAAGAGAAGAAATAAAACAAAAAACCAAAAAACAGCTAGACATGCCAGTCATTGGTGGGACACCACTTGAGTCCCAGCACTCAGGAGGCAGAGGCAGGTGGATCTCTGTGAGTTCCAGGCCAGCCTGGTCTAAAGAGCAAGTTCCAGGACAGGCTTCAAAGCAATAAAGAGAACCCCTGTCTAGAAAAAAACAAAACAAAACAGCCCCTGTTAAACATCTTTTAAGTGTTCAACACCATTACCCATCAGGGAAATGCAAGTTAAATGTTTTGTTTTTTCTGAAACAGGGTTTCTCTGTGTAACTTTAGAGTCTGTCCCGGAACTCACTTTGTGGACCAGAGATCCACCTGCCTCTGCCTCCTGAGTGCTGGGGTTAAAGGTGTGTGCCGCCGCCACCTGGCTACTTTGAGTGTTGCAGGAGATGTGTAGAAAGCCGAGCTCTCATTCACTCCCTATGGGAGTCACAAATTGATATATATAGCCATTATGGAAGCCAGCTGGGAGGTTCCTCAAAAAAAAAAAAAAAAAAAAACAAAACAAAAAACAACAACAACAACAAAAAAAAACAACCAAAAACAGAAGTACTGCTGGGGAGTGGTGGCCCTGTCTTTAACCCCAGCAGGGAGGCAGGGGTAGGTGAATCTCTGAGTTTGGGATAGCAGGGCTGTTACACAGAGAAAAACAACAACAACAACAACAACAAAAAACAATAAAAACAAACAAAACTACCATATGGTTAATCTAAGGCAATCTGGGCAAGTACACAGAGAACTCCAAGCCCTACCATAGAGATATTTACCCTGTCATGTTTATTGCTGCTCTAGTCACTGTAGCAAAGCAATGGAACCTATCTAACTGTCCGTCAACAGACAATCAATGAAAATCTGGTGCATAAGTAAAGTGGAATATTCCTCTGCTCTAAACAAAAATGAAATCACAAAATTTGCAGGAAAATGGATGGAGTTGGAATGTATAATATTGACGTAATACATCTCGAAGAGAAAAATGCATAGTTTCACTTATGTGGCTCCTAACCTATACATGCATGTATGTATTATGTGATCGTACATGTGGCTACAATATAACGTGTGGAAAGAACAAGAAGAAGCTAAACATTAGGGCATGAGAAGGACTGAATGCAGGTATAGTACATGAGTTGTAGGTATAAATCTAATGGTTTTTCGTCATGGATTTTTCAGTTTTGTTTTGCTTTGATTTTGATGGAGCAGAGCATAAAAATATAATTGATAGTCAAAGTGTAAAATCTAACGTGAAGCTCTGCAGTTTTGGAATGACTGCTTTAGCTGGATAGAGGCTCACTAGTGTTTAAACTTCGGTCTGAATACTCTCACAGCATGATGGGTTTTTTCCCTTCTAATTCTTTACAATAAAGTTTTAATTAATAAGATTTTTAAAAAAACTCCTTTAGATTCCATCTCACTCCACTTAAAATGGCTATTTTCTTTCTTCATTTTTTTCTTTTTAAAGGGGACTTTAAACGTTTTAAAATTTATTTTTTTTTATGTATTATTTTTAAGGTATGTGTGCTGTGTCTGCATGTATGCCTGCAGGCCAGAAGAGGGCATCAGATCCTATTGTAGATAGTTGTGAGCCGCTGGGTGGCTAGGAATTGAACCCATAACCTCTGGAAGAGCAGCCAGTGCTCTTAACCACTGAGCTATCTCTCTATCCCCAGAAAGGCTGTTTTCAAAAAAAAATTTTAAAATGAAAATAAATGACAACAAATACTAATGAGGGTATTGGGGAAGGGACACCAATCCCTTCTTGCTGGGACTGTAAATTCCAGTATCCATTATAGAAGTCAGTGTGGAGGCTCCTCAGAAAGCTAAAACTAAAAATATCATATAATGCAGCTATCCTGGGCATACGTACAGATTCTTCTGCAGGGAAGCCTGCCCACCCGTGTTCAATGCTGCTCTAGGCACAGAAGCTAGAAAATACAATCAGCCTAAACAGCCCTCAGCTGATTAATGACAAAGGAAAATGTGGCGACTATATACCATAGAATTTTATCCAGTCGCTAAAAAAAAAAAAAAAAAAAAGAAATTTGCAGGGAAGTGGGTGGAGCTGAAAAATGCTATATTAAGTGAGGTGATCCAAGCCCAGAAAAGAGAAATGCCACAGAACATATAGTGGCTGCAGCAGCCAGGAAGCTAGAAAGGGCTCCTGAGAGGGAAAGGGGAGGAGCCTCAATGGGTAGGGGCCTAAGGCCTAATAGATATAAAGGGTTACGGCCTATCAGGATACATGTGATATAAAGAGGGGTGGGTCCTGGGGGATTAAAGGGTTAAGTTAGAATAGGGGTGGGTCAACAGCATAGAGGAGAGCTGGGTAAGTTAAGCAAAACTAAACATTTATGGAAACCCAATATTTTGGGTAAAATATAATTAACAGCTGTTCTACAAAGAGTATTCTAGTCCAGCCAAGAATGTATAGTGAGACCCTGTCAAAAATAAGCATGTATGTTTTAAACACACACATATATACATATATATATATTTTAAGCTCCATATATATATATATATATACATATATATTATAATTTTAAAAGGAGTTTGAACACAAGAACCCTGTATTTGTGCATAGTGCTTCCCCAAGAAGCCATCAGTTATTAAATGAAAATCTCAGTATCTATGGGGTACCTCCCTCTGAGTTATTAGTCAGGGAGACCACAGAGGCTCCCAAAACAACACAGACTATTGTTATTTCTCTTGATTGCCCCCCATAAATGGTAAGATTCTGTTGCAGAAGACGCAGCACACTTCGGTTGCAGTACACAGAGAAATAAACCTGAAACTAACCTGCACACTTCTTCCCTGCTGGCTGGATTTCACAGTGCTGCAAAGTACTACAGATGCTTGTGGGGGAATTCAAGTCATCAATAGTATTGCTCAACAGTGAACCCTGAATGCTACAATACCAGCTTGACAACCAAGATGCATCATGGATGAAACAGTGTTATGAAGGTCACAGAGTTAACCACCTGCTTTCTGACTGGATTGGAGGCCTGCTCTATAAAAAGGATTCTATTCCTGGTACTGTAAACCATGGAGTCGTGGGCCCTAGTAGGGAATCTACTATTACTGTTTTGCTAAATGCACACATTGTCAAACCGCCTTCTAAATACTTATGTTTGTAGCCATACACCAGTGCAGCTCTTCATCTTGATCAGGAAGCTTCCTCTGCAGTGGGCTCAGTTAATGCAGAGACCCATAACTGGTCAGAGTGCTGAGAAGAAGTAACCACTGATTCCTTACAACTAGGTGGAACACCTGTATCAACACCCTGTGACTGTGCCCCAGGGAACCGGGCAGAATGGAGGTGGAAAGATCCTAGAGCTGAAGGATGGGGAGGGATGCTGTGAAACCCTGTCTTCCAGACATGAGATGACCATTTCCCTCCTCAACTCACTGCAGCTTATCAGCCAACATTCCAGCAGGAGGCCCTAACTGGACTCAAGTGAGTTGCAAAATTTAAAAGAGGAGCCATGTGGAGGTGGGGGTGGCAGGAGTTTGGGAGTATCTGATGGGAGGAGGGGGTGGAGTGCAGGGTGGATATGATCAACATACATTGTATACATTTTTTAAATTGTCTAAAAGTAAATAGAAGATGTTCAGGGTGAGGGAAAGCAAGTGATTAGAGCTGGAGAGATGCCTCAGTGGTTATCAGAACATTTGTTACTCTTGCAAAGGACCCAGGCATGGTTTCCAACACTCGCTTGGCTGAAACTCCAGTTCTAGGGGATCTGGTGCCCTCCTCTGGCCTCTGCAGGCACTGCACATGTATACATGTATACATGTAGGCAAGACACTCATACACATAAGTAAAACTAAATAAGACTAAAATAAAAAAAGAAACTGATTACATCTATGGGTCCTGAAACTTCAGACCATCTACCTTGTCTTCACACCACTACCATGAATGCTGGGTTTCATTTCTCAAAAAAGCTATTTCAAATATACTGTTTTGGCCACCAACCAATTATCTGGAAAATTCCCTTCTGTGTAGAATTAGTTCATTTTTCCCAATAACTATTTGATAGATACCTACTAAGCAACAAGTGCTATGCTATAGGCTGGGCTTTGGAAAAGAAAAATACTAGCTAATACTTTTTAGATCTCAGTGAGATCACTAGCCATGGTGATAATACTTTGACCCAGACAACGCTATTATTGCCACCTTTCAGTCGTGAAGTGTGAACATCAGGGCATTGCTGCATAGGTAAGGGCTGGTGGCGCTGGACTCGTGAAGGAAACGGACCTGAGTGTGGGAAGTCTTGAGTGAATGTGGATTGTTGACATGGGCAAAGCCATGTCAAGGACTCCAAGGCCTTGGACCTATGAGATATTGGCAAAGCTGTTTCCTCATATTGGCCATGCTCAAGATGGGTGGTAAAGCTCAACTCTGGAGTCTAAACAATCGGTCTGTGGGTGCCAAGACTAGCAACTGCAGCTTCCCCTGGGAAGCTTACAGCCTGAGACTACCTAAGAGGCCTCCAATGTGCCTAGCTAACCCATGCTAATAAACACCCCAAGGTTCCCAGTTGTGGTGGGAGGCCAATCCCAGCTTTGCTGTCTGTCTGTCCTTTCTTCATTCTCTCACCATCCCTAACCCATGACCCATGGGACAAAGGGGCAGACAGAACCGTAACTAACTCTAGAGTCTGATGTTTTACTGCATTATGCTCCCATGAGTAATAGGTACACGTGTTGAATCCTAGCTTTCATTCTCCTATGATCTTTATGTCTGTCCTACTCATTGATAATCCCTTTGTTTTGTTTTGGGATAGGATCTCATGTAGCCTAGGCTGACCTCTATGTAGCTCAGACAGGCCTTGAGCTGATCCTTTTGGCCTCTACTTCCCAAGTGCTGAGATTACAAGTGTGCCCTACTGTGCCAGGCTGTTTTTGGGTTTTTGTTTTTTTGTCAGAGATGGAGCCCAGAGCCTCCTAGGTCCTAGGCACATACTGTACCCATGAGCCATACTCCCTAGACCAGATTCCATTGAAGATGAGGATCATATATTTGTCTACTCCTTTGTTTCTATGGGTTAGGAGATCTCCTCACCTGGCAAGTATCCCTGCGTCCCTCTGGGTAGCCAGCACACAGCATTCCTGGCAACAGCTGGAAGGTCAGGTTGAAAGGGCCAGGCCGGCTGTAGAGACACTGGCAGGCAGCCTCTCCCAGCAACCTTAGCTCCACTTCCTGTAGCACCCAGGGGAGAGGCAGAGGGTCTGAGGGCAGAACCAGAGAACAGATACTTTCCATCAGGTATGAAACACGCATCTTCCCAGACCTTAGCTTTGTCCCTTTCAGCTGCCTCCTGGATATTCTCATCAATGTGTCCCGCAGGGTCTGGAGAAGTAGCTCAGTTGGTAGACTTCTTGCTGACATATATAAAGGCCTGTGTTCTGTTCCCAGAATGGAATAAGCCAGGTGTGGTGCACAGGCCTGTAATCACAGAACTTGGGAAGTGGAAGCTAAGAGCCAGAAACTCAAGGCCATCCTCTGCTAATTAACAAGGTTGATGCCATCTTGGCCATCTTGGACTATGTGAGACCTTGCCTTGGAAAAAAAAAGATGGCACCTCATCCTACCACTTTTCACCATGTCATCTGTTCTTCTTATCTTCTCTCTAAGTCCCCTTCTTAGTTAGGTTTAGCCCCTGCAAGCAGCCATAGATGATGGTACAGCTTGTATATGATACAAGGTCCCCAGACAATAATGTACATATAGAGGAGCCAAAATCATTAAGCTCTCAATATTGAGGTGGAGTATGCCCCCCCCCCCAAAAAAAAGAGCATCCTTTTCACAAAGATATCATACACCTGGGCCTGAATGAGCAACCCAGCCTCCTGACTGGTTAGCTTCCTAATTCACTCTGTACCTGCTACTTCTGGGAGAAATGTCTCTATAGCTCAGCTCTGGGTTTTTACTGAAACAATAAATGGATGCTCCAGGCTCAACCTGGGGCCTCAGTGCTAACCTTTTGGCATTCCAGGTGTGAATGGCCACTACTGACTGCTTTGTTTGTTTGTTTGTTTTTGAGACTAGGTCTCACCATGTAGCTGTTTTGAAACTCACTATGTAGAGCATTCTGGCCTTTAACTCATGGAGATCCCTCTGCCTCTGCCTCTGGAGTGGTGGGATTAAAGGTGTGGACCATCACACCCAGCCCAGCTGCTACTTTTGATGAAAAGTCTCAGGAGCCAGAGAGGGGTAGGGAAGGTGAAAAAGTCTTCCAGACTCACACAGAATCCCCAGGAGCCAGGCTATGGCTGAACCCGTCCTTGGAGCTCAGCTAGGGAAGTCTAGAGGTGGTCTGAAGACTACTCTGTCCCTCAGCTTCTTAGTCTGACCTTAAGATCTTCAAGCTCCAGCCTCAGCATCCTTGTGAGCTATGCCCTGCCAGCCACTCAGTCTAGCATCCTAGCTTTTGCCTAGGGCCCCCCCAGGATGGCTTCCTTCTAGCACATCCTCTCTCCACACCTCCTCTCCAGAAATCTGCTCTAAAGGCCATGGTCAGGATGCCCTGACTCTTTCCACAAAGACTTCTCAGGTGCTCATGATCACTCTTTCCTGACACCTCCAGACTGATGGTGCCCCTGCAAGCAGCAGCTGTGTCTCTTCTACAAATCACTTGTCAAAGCCCCAGGAGGGCGGACATCTGACCAAAGCAGATGTGGAATACCTAGGGGCGTGTTTGCTAGACACAAAGTAACGCTGAACAATAGAGGAGGTTAAAAATGGAAAAGTAGCCTGCCTCCCGATACCTTCTGACATAGCATGATGCAGTCTCTGAGAAGGCTTGGTTTCTGTGTATTATGTTCACTAGGGTCTCTCTTTTCAGTGCTGGTCTAATACAGTGCCTGGCACATTGAAACAGCTTTGGCAAAAGAGTGAGTGAATGAATGTTCTGAGTAGGGTGAAGAAGAAAAGTGGGGAATAGACTGAGGACGGATGGCAGAACGTCAGTACTTGAACACCTATTACAGAAGGTAACCACAGCCTGTTAAGTACAGCAGTGATAGCCACTGGGCCATAGATAGGCTTCACTTGGGCGTTCCCTCTGAGCCACCCAACACCCTGTCTTCCTCCTTTCGCAGGAGGAAATGTGCGAGGGGAATGCTTTGTCTGAAAGAGCTGGGACGGATCCCGAGTCCGACCTAAATCCAGAAGAGAAAAGAGAGAACAAAACAAAGACTGGGAGAAAAGGCGAGGCCAGAGATGGGGCAACCTCTGGGGCAGAGGAGGCTACATAGAGGGAGGTTAGGAATTTTCCGTGGATCAGAACTAAGTCTCCAAGCTATGCCTGGGGTCCCTCCCTCCCTTTAGGCCCAGCTTCTAAGGGACCACCCACCAGAGGACCCAGCTTTTAGGGCGCTCCAGGACCCACACCTGCTAGCCCCACTCACCAGCCTCCTGGACATCTCCCCAGCCAGTGGCCCAGCAGGCGGTGCCGTGAGCGAAGCGATGCGAGGCGCGAGGCAGGCAGACCGGCCGCACCGAGGGGCTCAGCCTGGCGGGCGAACCCAGGCGAAGCAGAGCCACATCAGCGCCCAGTTCCACTCTGCTGTAGTTGTCCGGCACCAGGATAGCGGCCACTGAGCGCAAGTGAGCGCCGTCCATGGGTCCGTCCTGGGAATGCACGCCCAGCAGGACTGACCATTCTTCTGCTGGCTCCAAGGTCCCGTTCCTGCTCAAGCGCCGGGGAGTTAAGGGGACTAGGTTGGTCCGACGGAGTCAGCAGATCACCTTGGAGCTGAAGACTCAGAGCCGAGGGAGCGGAGGGGGAGATGGGTCAGTAGGAACCCAGGGAGTGAGCAGTCAGATCCAGATTTGGGGCTGAGGCAGTGGGGGTTGAAAGGGTTGAAAGGGTCAAATAGGACTTGGAGATGTCAATGAACGTTGGAAAGAGAATTCCTATTTCAGGGTATTTAGCCTGAACAGAATGGCATTGCCGGGCAGGAAGGGTAAGCAGGGAAGGTTAGCCTTTGAAGGAGAGAGCTGGACAAAGACTACTCACGTCACGAAACAGTGAGCAGCGGAAAGAACCCAGGAAGGAGCGATGAGTGAGCCCCCGCAGATATGGCCCCCACCATGATGCAGGCTCACCTGCCAAGGCCAAGTGCCAGGATGGGCGTCGGAGCCCCCTACGATGCGGGAAGAGGGCTCTGGGCGGCCGCAATCTGGAATGGAGACCCCTGGAAGTTAAGGCCCTTCCCGCTCCGACCTTCGTACAGAGACCCTGGTAACTCGGGAGAAAGTCAACCTCCCATCCATTCCTTCAGTTTGCCCTTTTGAACATTACCAAGGCAAGGCTGAGTTCCTGGGCACCTCCAATTCACTCATGACTTAGCCAGCCTGAAACTTCTTTAAGAATCAAGGCAGCCGGGTGTGATGGCGTGTGCCTTTAGTTCCAGCGCTCAGAAGCAGAGGCAGGCAGATCTCTGAGAGTGTGAAGCTAGCCTGGTCTACAGAGCGAGCTTCAGGACAGCCAGGACTATATAGAGAGACATTGACTCAAAAAACAAAATGAAGCCGGGTGGTGATTTGGTGCACACTTTTAATCCCAGCACTCAGAGGCAGAGGCATGTGGATCTCTGAGTTCGAAGATAGCCTGGACTACATACAGAGTGAGTTCCAGGACAGCCAGGGTTATACAGAGAAAAACCCAGTCTCAAAAACACAAACAAACAAACAAACAAAAAAACCTAACCAAACAAACAAAAAACCTCAAGATCCAAGGCAACTCTGGCCTCCCTCTTACCTACATCTTCAAATTCTCCTTGGGTAGAACTGACAGCTGGAAGACAGAAGGCAGAGAGAGACAGATGCTTATTACTAGAACCCACGTTGCCCAGCCCCCATGTTCCTGCTCTAACCCCACATTTGCCTCCCCAAGTCCCTTTTGTTTTTCAGTCCTTGACCCGCCTGCACCAAGGCCACTTTCCCTGAATCTTGGAAGGTGCCTGGGATGGGGCTGACCACTGGAAAGACAAGAAGGAGGCAGGGAAAAGCTGGGGGATGATGCACTTAGGTGTGGCTCTCACTCCCTCTATCCAGGGTTAGCGTTCTGTCCCCCCCCCCCCCCCCCCCCCCGACACCAGGGCTTCCTTTCTCCTACACAATCCCTCAGGCTCCTAGCCCCTTCCCTCCTTCAGTCACCCTCCCTTTCTTCCTCTTGACACCCCACTTCTCTGCCTCTGCTGACATTTCATAGCCTATAGAGGATACAGGACAGACATCCTGCTTTTCAGTTCTCTAGGTGCTGAAGCCCTGTCCACTGAACTTACCCATCATGACAAGTGGGAGGAACAGGTGTGGGGACATGGTCCACTAGAGTCGGAGGGAGGTGCAGAGACAGGTGAAAGGCTGCTTCCTGCCACCACACTGTCACTGACTATGAGGCTGGGCCCTCCTGATGGTCCCAGGAGTAGCCCCACCCTTCCTGGCTAGAGCTCATTTGTGGGAATCTGAGAGGATCTGGGGCTGAACAGGGAAAGTAGGGAGTTCAAAGGCCCCTCCCAGAACTCGGGTGCATCTCACGTATCTGGAGGCTCAGAATGGAAGCAGCGAAGTGTCCTAGCTCCAGGATAACTGTTGGATGTGGGAGAGATGGGCAGAGACCTCTGTGTGTTGAAACCAAGTAAGATGCCAGTAGTGGGGATGCATGCTGAAGCAGTTGCACCCGGCCCTCGGAAGGGCAGGGCCAAGCTGAGCAGTAGCCCTTGGCATGACTCACCCCACATCTCACCTTTGGTTGGGGTGTGGCTTCCCCAGGGGCTTGGCCTTTTCTTCTCACAAGGCTCTGGTTACTGGAGTTACTGGCCAGGGCTGGGAACTCCGGGGAATTCAATTCTATCCTAACAAAGGGATCACAGATTCGATCCTGTTGAGCAAGGCCTAGGGGTACTGGAGAGCACTGAGCAGCCTGGCAAAGCCGAGACATTCTACTGACCCCTGAGCTAAGGTGGTAGACTCTCAGGACTGTCACTTACTTCTAGATGTAACTTGGGAAAACCACTCAGTCTCTTGGTATACTGTTTACCATTAGGCGCCTGCTTAAGAAATAAATGTAAGGGACGCAAGAGAAGCTGCGCAGGAGACAATGGCAGGCTCAGTGTTGGCGATTCGGGCTCGGCTCGGTGTCTGGGGTGTGAGAGTCCTACAACCCCGAAGCTTCGGCTCGGACTCGTCAGAGAGCATGGACACGGGCGCTGGCTCCATCCGAGAAGCCGGTGGGGCCTTCGGAAAGAGAGAGAAGGCTGAAGAGGATCGGTACTTCCGAGAGAAGACTAGAGAACAACTGGCTGCCCTGAAGAAACACCATGAAGATGAGATCCAGCACCACCATCAGGAGATAGAGCGTCTGCAGAAACAAATTGAACGTCATAAGAAGAAGATTAAAAGCCTGAGAAGTGATCATTAAATGCATTCAGTCACCCACAGAATGGCTGTATCATTCCCCACTTCTATAGAGACATAGTTCTGAGTGATTAATATTTTGATCTGTGTGCTACTGACAGATAATAAATTATCACCAGTAAAAAAAAAAAAAAAAAAAAAAAAGAAATAAATGTAAGGCACTGGGGCCTCCATGTGATCCCAACTGTGAAGGCTGAAGGCATTCCAGTCACTTATCCTAGACTACAGAGTAATACCCTGTCTTAACAAAGGACAGTGAGGTGTGGAGAAGTGACTAATACTTCCAGGAGCTGTGGATGTAGCTCAAAGGAATGCTTGGCTCACATGTGCAATGCCATGGATCTGGTGGGTTTAATCCTCATCACATCCTGTACTGGGGAGATACAGGAAGGAGGATCAGGAGTTTAAAGTTATCCTTGGCTTTGGATAAGGGGTTTTCAACCTGGGAGTCTCGACCCCTCCATAGGGGTTGCCTAAGACACAGACATTTACATTATAATTCATAGCAGTAGCAACATTACAGTTATGAAGTAGCACAAAATTAATTTTATGGTTGGGGGTTACCATAGTATGGAGAACCATATTGAAGGGTCACAGCATTAGGAAGGATGAGAACCATTGTTGTAGAGCAAGTTTGAGGGCTACATGAGACCTTGTCACAAAACACAATGTAGCACAACATGGTCTCATAACAGCTTTATTTACAAGAGCCAGAAGCCAAAAAATAAAAGTCCAATAACAAGGAAAATTGACAAATTGTGGTGTATTAATACAATAGAATACTTTGCAGCAATGAAAACGATGAATTACTCTTGGGAAATGGTGGCATCTACCTGTCATCCTAGCTGCTTTGCAGGCTAAGACAAAAAGATTATTTGAACGCAGAGCTTCAAGGCCAGCCCCGGTAGCTTAGGAAGGACCCATTTCCCAAAATGAATAAGTATGTGTGCAACAATAAGAATGACCTCATAGAAATTATTTTCAATGAATATGTGTCATACTGTATGATTTCAATTATATATAATCTTTTTACTTTCCTTTTCCTGTCTCATCTATTTTTTTTTTTTTTTTTTTGCAACAAGGATTCATATGTTATCCAGGCTGGTCTTGAACTTGTTTCTAATCTTCCTGTCTTCACTTACCAAGTATTTGGATCATAGGAATGGCCCCTCGCTCCTGTTTTTGCCTTTGTTTTGTTTTATTGGTTTTTGAGACATGGTTTCTCTGTGTAGTCTTGGTGTCCTGGAACTGGCTCTGTAAACCAGGCTGACCTCAAACTCACAGAGATTCCCTCTGCTTCTGCCTTCTGAGTGCTGGGATTAAAGGCATGCACCACCACACAGCCCATCATATCTATTTTATCCAGTGCTGGAGATAGAACTCAGGACTTGCCAAGTTTGAGACAACCACTTTGCCAACTCAGCCATTTCCCCAAGCATTTTGTTTTAATTATATATTTATTATTACCATTATTGTTATTATTATTATCAACAGTATTAAGGATGGGTGTTTGTCTTTTGTCTGCATAAATATCTGTGCACAATGTGTGTGCAGTGTTCACAGATACCAGAAGGGGGTATTGGATCACCTTGGAACTGGAGTAAAGGATGGTTGTGAGCTGTCATGTAGGTGTTGGGAAATGAACTGAGTTTTCTGCATAAGCGGCCAGTGCTCTTAACCCCTGAGCCATCTCTCCAGTCCTCTATTTTTTGTTTTTGCTTGTTTTGTTTTTCAAGGTAGGGTTTTTCTGTGTGTATCCCTGGCTGTTCTAGAACTTGCTTTGTAGACCAGGCTGGCCTGGAACTCACAGAGATCCACCTGTCCCTGCCTCCTAAGGGCCGGGATTAAAAGCCTGGGTCGCCACAGCCCAGCTCTATTTTTTTAAAGACACGATCTCGCTATGTAGCTCTGGCTGGCCTCAGCTGGCTGCAGCTCTCTTGCCTCAGCTCCTGAGTGCTGAGGTTGCAGGTATAAGCCATCATATTTGGTTACTCACATACAATTTAGTAATAAGACAAACTGACAGATGGTGCTAGAAGCCAGGAAAGGGAAGTCCTTTCTGATGACAACACTGACTGGAAGGAGCACGGGAAAGTTGGCGTCTTGACCAGGTGATGGTTGTAAAGAAATGGCCATTTACTGGGCTTCCCTCTTAAGGTACACATCTGAACTTTACAATCCGGCTGTCACACCCGAGGAGGAGATGCACTGGAGTTTCTAAATGAATTCAGGGGTCAGTTAAGGAAACACAAGTGAACCAACTCCAAAGTGACTTCCCTGACTGAAAATGTTGGTAAAAGGTGCAATGTTACATCAGATACACCTTGGTATTTGTGCTATGCAGCTTCTCAAAGTGCCCTGAAGATAGAGAGACCTTTCATCATTGGGAAAAACAGGTATTCTGAAGCCAAGCTTTTGATATTATTACGTTTCCTGATAAAAGAGATGTTTTCTCCATCCTGAGTGAGGTAACCCAGTCACAAACATGGTATGTTCTCACTCATATATGGATTTTAGACATAGAGCAAAGGATCACCAGTCTACAATTCACACTGCCAGAGAAGCTAGGATACAAGGAGGACCCTAAGAGAGACAACATGGTCTCCCAGAGAAGGGGCAAGGGACAAGATCTCCTGAGCAAATTGGGAGCTGGGGGGGACAGTGAGTGGAGAGGGAGCTAGGAGAAAGAGAAGGGGAGGAGAGGAGGGGAGAGGAAAACTTGAGGGACCAGGAAGATTGAGTTGGGGGGTGAATAGACAAGAGCAAGAAAAGAGATACCATAATAGAGGGAGCCATTATAGGTTTAAAGAGAAAACTGACTCTAGAGAAATGTCCAGAGACCTACAAGGATAACCCCAACTAACAATCTGAGCAACAGTGGAGAGGCTACCTTAAATGCCCTTCCCTGACAATGAGCTTGATGACTAACTTATCTGCCATCATAGAGTCCTCATCTAGTAGCTGATGGAAACAGAAGCAGACACCCACAGCCAAACACTGAGCTGAACTCCTGGAATCCAGGTGCAGAGAGGAAGGGGTGATGAGCAAAGGGGTCAAGACCAGGCTAGAGAAACCCACAGAGATAGCTGATCTGAACAAGGGGGAGCTCATGGATCCCAGACTGATAGCTGGGAAGCCAGCTTTGGACCGACTCAGACCCCCTGAACATGGGTGTCAGTTAGAAGGCCCCTGGGCAGTCTATGGGACCTCTAACAGTAGAACCAGGATGTATCCCTGGTGCACAAAAGGGCTTTGGGAGCACATTCCCCACACTTAGCCTAGAGACAGTAAGAAGGGCTTAGGCCCTATTCCAAATGACTTGACAGATTTTGATGATCCCTCCTGGAAGGCATCACCCTCCCTGTGGAGCTGGTGGGGAATGGGATAGGGGAGTTGGGAGGGCATGGGAGGATGGGAGGGAGAGAAAAATAATAATTAAAAATAAAATAATAATAAAAAAGAGATGTTTGCTCTTAAGAAAAAGGTTCCAGACCACTTATTTATTTTTCTGAATTGACTTCAGGGAATAACAACAGACAAACAAGAAGGCTGATGATTGTCACTGCCAGGAAAAAAGTACTCCGTAGAAAATCCTGTCTTTGCTCCTTTTCTGGACTAGGAAGCCAGTTCAGTGGTGAAGGGCATGGGCAGCACACAGTGATACAGACTCCAACGAAATGAAATAGAATAGGACGGTCCTGGTGGTGCAGACCTGTAGCTCTGACACGGCGTCCGAGTTCAAGGCTAACTTTGGCTACATGGCTAGTTCAAGGCAATCCTGAACTTCAGGGGGCTCTGTCTCAACCCTCCCCTCCTTCTGCCAACATAAATAAAGTTCATGAATGATAACTGGCTGAGGTGTAACACAGTGATGTAGCAGCACTTGTGTAGTGTAGGAAGGGGAGGAAATGACACAACAAATAAAAAAGTTAAAGACACTTCAGCAGGTAAGCAGAGCTGAACACGTTCAGGGTCAACTGCACCAGGCAGGGCTGAATCTTCTGTCAACAATGTGTTTAGGCAAGTGTTGGTGGCGTTTGCATTTGCATTGATTAAATAATGCAATTGATTAATGCATTGATTAAATAAAATTAACCTTGGGTCAGGTGGTTGAGTTAGCTGGAAGTAATCACAGTGTGGTGATGTCTTGGTTGTACTCTAACAAACAGAGCTTGCATGAAGATCAGAGGGCAGAGCTAGCCACTAGTTAACCGTATACGTCTGGAGGTCTGTACAGACAGACAGGAAGTGATAGGACTGTGCAGAGAGAGGAATATAAGGTGGGAAGAGACAGGGCTCTCTCTTTTCTGCTGAGAAGTTGGGGAGGTAAGATGTCACTGTAGCTTGCTCCCTTGTCTAACCTTTCAGCATTTACCTCTATATCTAATTCCCAGTTTTTACTATTAAAAGCAATTAGAATTTGTGCTACAATAGAGCATCAGAGGGCATCAGGGAGAGACAGAGAGACACAGGAAGTAGTAGGGAGGGATTTGGAATGGTGTGGCCCTTTTTGTTTGGGCAGAGCTGAAGGACACTCCCCCCCCCCCCACACACACACACACACCAGCAAGGAAAAGTTAGCTGGTTACTACTCAGCTTCTCTAAGCTAGAAGGTTTTCACCCTAGCCTTTGAATCTCTCATCTTATTTATAGATAGAATGATAAGAGATTTAGTTAAAGCTCCATTTAGTGGCAGCAACAAGGCTAGTACCTGTGGGAACAGAATCCCCACCAGACTGCAGCCTGAGCAGCTGGGCCACTGCCAGAGACGTAGGCTGGTAACTTCAGAGTTGCAATTGCTGGTTGAAATAGCCACTGTGCTGAAGTTAAAGGCACAGGCAAGCATAACAACTCATACCAGCAATCTTAGCTCTCAGGAAGCTGAGGCATCCACATACAAGATTGAGGCCAGCATGGGCTATATAAGACCTTTTCTTAAAAACTATGTTCAGGATCTTCAAGTCACCCCACTTCCAGTAGGGTTAATCTGTTGAAAACCATTCAGGAAGTGCCATGTC